TTGATCACATAGGGACAGCAACCCAAGGGATGTCCCCAATTGATCACATAGGGACAACAACCCAAGGGATGTCCCCAGGTGACCCGACTGGGTCCCAGACGTCCCTATGAGGACTCATCACCATCTTCTTTCTGCTCTTCACTCCCGGATTTCTCCCCCTTGCCCAGTTTGTACTTGAGGCGCCGGAAGGGGTCGCTGATGCTCCTCCTGGCACAATCATCAAAATCCTCAGCCAGTCGGAAATTCCTGTCCACCAGCTCAGCTGCCTCCTGCCAGTTCTGGAAGCAGGCAGGACCCATGCTGGTGATCTCATCCACGGCGTTCCCGACGATGACGTCCCCGTTGGGTTTCAACACCACCACCCTGGGCACCTCAGACACCGCAAAGCGCAGCTCCAGTTCCCTGCAAAGGGAAGAAATCTCAATTCAAGACCTGCTGCACTCAGAGTTCCTCAGTATTCATTAACGTACAAACTCCGAAATGGCTCCAAGAGGGGCTGGAAGGAGTTGTCAGCGTTACCTGCACCTCACTCGGCCGTTCATGAGGTTGTGGTAAATCCCATTTCCTAATTGAGTGTGTGGCAATCAGCCTGTGGCAACAGGATGGGTCACAAGGACCCTCCCAACCCAAACCATACTGCGGTTCTATGATCTTTAAGGATTCCTCCCAACATTCGGTGAATCTGTGATTCTACAGATCTTGGATTCTATGGATTTACAATCCTACAATTCTACCATCTGGTGATTTTTAAGGTCCCTTCCAACCCAAACCATTCTACGGTTCTATGATCTTCAAGGTCACTCCCAGCCCACGCTACCCTAAAATTTTGTGATTCTGTGACCTTTAAGGATCCTTCCAACCCAACCCACTCTGTCCTTCTATGATTCTTTGACCTTTAAGGTCCTGTTCAGCCCAACCATTCCATGATTCCATCTTTCTATGACTCTATCATCCCACCACCTTTGAGGACCCTTCCAACCTAAGAATTTCTGTGTCTCTACGATTCTATGTTTCCATCTATAATCTTTGAAGTCCCTTCTAATCCAACCCATTCTCCATCTCTGTGATCTATAAGAACCCTTTCAATCCAAACCCAAGACATTGTATGGGTCTGTGATCTTTTTAGGTCCCTTCCAACCAAACCCAGTCTGTGATTTCATGATTCTCCGATCTTTAAGGTCCTTCCAACCAAAACCATTCCACGATTCTGTGATCTTTAAGATCCCTTCCAACCAAACCCAGTCTGTGATTTCATGATTCTCTGATCTTTAAGGTCCTTCCAACCAAAACCATTCCATGATCCCGTGATCTTTAAGATCCCTTCCAACCAAACCCACTCTGTGATTCCGTGACTCTGTGATCTTTAAGGTCCCTCCAACCAAAACCATTCCATGATTCTGTGATCTTTAAGATCCCTTCCAACCAAACCCACTCTGTGATTCCGTGACTCTGCGATCTTTAAGGTCCCTCCAACCAAAACCATTCCATGATTCTGTGATCTTAAACTTAAAAGTTCCCCTCCCACCCAACCCAACCTACAATTCTATGATCCTTACAGTCCCTTCCCTCCCAACCACTCCATCATTCCGCACTCCTACGACCCCAAAGAACCCCCCCAACCCCACCACCCACCTCTTGAACTCATCTCCAAAGGGTAACGACAGCCACCTCTTGGGCATGGACTTCAGGAAGGCCTCCTCCTGCTGCTCGGTGGCGTCTCGGGACACATACACCAAACACAGCTGCGATGCCCGCTCCACGTAGAACTCATCCGTCAACCTCACAAAGAAATCCTTCAGCCGTGGCACGAAACTCCGGCACTGCGGGCATTCAGCCGCCCCAAAATACAGCAGCATCACTCTGTTCTCCAGGGCCAAACACAGCTCCCTCTCCGTCTCCACTTCATCCCGGTCCCTGTTGTTGACGATCAATACTTTCCCAGCGAACAGAGAAGCCATGGCGGGGGGGGGAAGGAAGGGGGAGGGTGGCGGATCCCAATGGGGGATGTGCAGAGCAGCGAGTGTCCAAACGGGGCGGGATGAGACACGCAGCCCTCCGCGCTTCCCTCCCCCCGCCGCTCCCGGCTGCTATTCATAGCCGAAATCGGATTAAAGCGAGGGGTCAATGAATGCGGGGACGGCGCTGCGTTGGGTCGTGGCACGGATCCCACAGCGTTGGGGGGATGAAAAACGGGGCAAAGCAACGGGACGTCGCCCAGCACTGAGTGGGAACAAAGAGAAGAACAAACAGCAGCTCGTTTTCTATTAGATTTAAAGCCAAAAAAAAAAGTCTTTTCCCGGTGCGGCTGCCCCGGTTTCCTCGCACGGAGGGCAGTGGGACGAATCCTCCGTTCCTCTCCGCATTAACTGGAGAAATATGAAGGACAACTCCGTTTTCTATTGGAATTACGGCTCGAACGCCTTTTCCCGCTGCTTTTTGCCCGATTTCCCCTTCCCCTCCGCGGCGGCAGCGAAGCGAAACCTCCGCTCCGCTCCGCTCCCTTCCCGATCCGCTCCGCTCCCTACCAAGGACAGCTCCGCCCTTTCTCCTCGCCCAATCAGAGACCTCCCTCAGAGCTCTCCACCAATCAGATCGCGAGCCGCCGGACTGTCCCGCCTACCGGTGGGCAGCCCACGCTTCCCCGCAGCGCCGCTCGGAGCTCCGCGGTCGGATCCGCTGCGGGCGGCGGAGCGGTGCGGAGGTACGGAGGAGCGGAATGTGGGGCTTGGGGGGAAGGTTGGGAGGTTGGGAGGACGGGAGGGGTCACAACGGGGCCGGGGTTGTGGATTTTTAAGGCCCGGTGGATTTGTGACCGCTTCTTCCATCCGCAGCATGCAGCCGGTGGGGGTTTGCACCGCGGCGCTGGGATCGTTGGGGCTGATGAGGTTCTTCGGGGTTCCGTGGGTTTGGAGCCTGGCGGCAGCGCTGGGCATCGGCCTGGGAAGCGGAGGTTGGAGGCTGCTGAGGGTGATCTGCAAAACGGCGCTGCGGGATCTCTTGTAAGTGGTGCGGGGCTCGGCGTTCTGTGCCCTACGGTGTGCATCGAGCCCGGGACCCACAGCCAGCGTCCTGTTCCCAATACCCAAAGCTTTGTGCCCGGTATCTGGTATCCAGTACCCAGTGCCTGGTGCCCGGTAACCGACACCCAGTGCCCGGTACCCTGTGCCCAGTGCCGTGTGCCCAGTGCCCAAAATCTGGTGCCCAGTATTCAGAACCTGGTGTCCAGTGCCCTGTTCCCAATACCCAATGCCCTATGCCCAGAACCTGGTGCCCAGTACCCTACATCCAGTGCCTGGTACCCTGTGCCCAGTGCCCAGAATCGGGTGCCCAGTATCCAAAACCTGGTGCCCAGTGCCCTGTTCCCAATACCCAATGCTCTGTGCCCAGAATCAGGTGCCCAGTATCCAAAACCTGGTGCCCAGTGCCCTGTTCCCAATACCCAATGCTCTGTGTCCAGAATCTGGTGCCCAGTATCCAAAACCTGGTGCCCAGTGCTCTGTTCCCAGTACCCAATGCCCTATGCCCAGAACCTGGTGCCCAGTACCCTACATCCAGTGCCTGGTACCCTGTGCCCAGTGCCCAGAATCGGGTGCCCAGTATCCAAAACCTGGTGCCCAGTGTTCTCTTCCAGTACCCAATGTCCTGTGCCCAGAATCTGGTGCCTAGTGACCTGTGCCCAGTGCCCAGAATCTGGTGCCCAGTATCCAGAACCTGGTGCCTAATGCCCTGTTCCCAGTGCCCAGTACCCTGTGCCCAGTGCCATGTGCCCAGTGCCCAAAATCTGGTGCCCAGTACCCAGTGTCTGGTACCCAGGTTCTCTTCCCAGAATCTGGTGCCCAGTATTCAGTGTTTGGCACCCAGTGCCCAGTACTCAACACCCAGTGCCCAGAATCTGGTACCAGTACCCAATATCCCCAACCTGGTGCCCGGTGCCCTTTTCCCTGTGCCCAGTGCCCAGTATCCACAACCTGGTGCCCAGTGCCCTTTTCCCTGTGCCCAGTGCCCCATATCCCCAACCTGGTGCCCAGTTCCCTTTTCCCTGTGCCCAGTGCCCAATATCCACAACCTGGTGCCCAGTGCCCATAAACCTGGTGCCCAGTGC